TTTTCAAACGAAAATAATCGCCGTCGCACGATCGCTGCTTACGCACTCGAAAGCGGATAGCTGTTATCTTCGAAGCTAATTGTAAGAACAGTGAGGCCGCTCTTGTATCCCCACCTACGTCGTCCTTCGGCGCTTGGCCGCTCGCTGCCGATTCCGCCTGCAGTTTTATTGGTTGCCGCAGAGGCGGCGAGCGGCCAAGCGTAGAGATCCTCTAGGTAGAGATCAGACAACGTCGCCATGATTTGTGAAACCGGAAATGACGTAAATTTTGAAAGTGCGCGCCAATATTATAATTTCAATATATTACGTAACACTATATTTGTATTATTTTATTATAATTCCATAAAATAAATATATACAAATGAGAACAACTGCGATTATTTACCAAGATGTAATTCTGCAGTTCAATATTAGCTAGGACTCGGACACAATAAAAATAAATAGTAAACAGAAAACAGAGAATAAGGAGAATAAGAAATTCAATATGTAAAATAAGCTTATAAGATTGGGTAAATTAATTTTTTTTTTACTATCTAACTAAATTAAGTTAAAGTTGATGGATTACACAATTAATTTAAGTAAAAGATGCATAAAAAGGAAACTTATAACATAGTAAAAAGTTACATTAAGGTTAAATTGTTAAGTTGTAAATTAAGAGTTAATTTTAAAAATAATTATTCATTTTATATTACAATGTGACAATTGTTTAAAATTAGATTACTTTAATAAAATAAATATAATATAAATGATCAAATAAATTTAATACTTAACTTGTAAATTAAGTTTATATAAAATAAAGTATTATATTTTTGCGAGTGTTATGCCCATTATCATAAATTTTTATTTTAAACAAATTGTCCAATTGTTCAGGATTTTATAGACAAAAACATTGGCATTTAGAATAGGTAGAAGAAATTTTTAACTTGGGAAAAAGATCAATAAGTTAAGAGGTTAATGAGTTAAAGTTTATGTATTTTAAGAAAAGTAGTTGAAATTATAAATTAATTAAGTTCAGTTAAAAATTATTAACTTTTTAACTTTATTATTTAACTGACTTTTTAACTGATTACCTAATTACTACCCAATCTTGTAAATAAAGGACATTACATATACATATGTATTTCCTTTATTAAACATATTGAAGGCTGTTATATTCAACAAGTAAATTAAACCAATCGGCGTTGGTGAAATCGGCCCAAAGTGATGATTACAGCTCCTGAAATACAATACATAATGTAATTTTTGATGACTAACTACAACGAAGAAAAAAAAATTAATAAGGAAGAAATAAAGAGCATAAGAAATAAAATACTTTTATTACATAAATAAAAATGAATATTTATGACAGAAATAAAAATTTTTAATCTCAGCACGAAATAATGCACTAGAATGTGTTAATCATTGGTACAGGCATTTTTCGATATAAATAAAGAATAATATTTTTAACAGAAATTAAAAACTTTAAATTATAACACAAAATAATGCATCGCCATATTCTTACTCGAATATGCTACAGTCTTTGGTACATGCAGGCATTTTTCGATATAAAGATTAATATTTTTAACAGAAATTAAAAACTTTAAATTATAACACAAAATAATGCATCGCCATACTCTTACTCGAATATGCTACAGTCTTTGGTACAAGTATTTTTCGAGATGATACTTTTATGCGTAATGTATAATATTGCGAAATAATTTTAGTTTTCAAATTGTGACATGACGGAAGAGTAAATGATATATTTTGGCTTTGGATATATTGATATTGTTACGTCCGGCGTGCATTAAGCCAAAATATCTTATAGACTCATCAATTTATTGGTTCTTGTATCGTATTAGTGGCACGCCGTTGCAACCGCCCGAGTGCCAGCACACCTGACGGAATGCGCGTCAGCCGGGGCGCGCGCTCGCTGCATTCGGTGCACGTGTGACTACTGACAAACAAGTCCCTTTATTCTCTAATAATTCAGGCCTTTAATTTCAATTATTCTTTTGTATTTCTATTAAGCACAACGTGCGAATAATAATTATTGTAATATTCCGCGAAGTGTTTGTGCGGAATAATTTCTCGGAGACTGCGACGAAAATACCCTCTCCATCCTCAAACCAGGGGTATATATTCGGGCGATTTTGGAGCCCGAGTGTGATTCGATTTTCGAAAGCCGAGATGATTAGTCGTGTAGTCGGTACAGTCTTTATACGTCGCTATACAGTCATTATACGCGAAAGAGCATAATCGAACGGTAACTCTTCTTTACACTTAAACAAGGCCTTCGAAAGTCGGGTCTCG